GCCCGCGGTGGGGACAAGGACCTGAAGACTGTAAATTCTTCAGGTGGACGGACAATACAACTGTTTCTACGATATCCCAATTGGACACAGGTACTAGGAGTTCGAGAGTACCACAACAGGAGACCACCGCATATGGTTCGAGTTCTTCCGTGTATACCGCACCCCATTAAGACACGCTTGCTCGGGGATTAGAGGTATCAGAAACGGGCAACATTCGTCATGATGTGACTTTACATGTCAAACTCAATATTGTCATATTTTTTCTTGTAATTTTAACATGTTATTTCTTTTTTTTTTGGGTCTTTCTATAATCCATATTAGAGTTTCATAAATATGTATTGAACTTTCCTTTATATCACTATGTTTTCTTGATGTAATCACAACTTTTTTGAGTTATATAAATATTATTAAACTTTTTTGCAATTTCATTTCTAGACATATGAGAAAATAACATTCTGCTACACAGATTATTCATTCAACTCAAAAAATTTACAAATAAGCTGTTTACAAAACGCACAAACCAAACAGCTAAACTGCTTATTCAGACCAGGGGCAAAAGGGTCAATTTTTCACAATCAGCTGTTTTCCAGACGCGTTAACCAAACAGCCAGACAACTTATCCGGATCAGCTGGTCATCAGCAGATTATCAGGATAAGCTGCTTATCAGCAGAAGCTGGATAAGCTGCAGCTGCCCCAAACAGACCCTTAATTGACGGTCAATGTGCCTCTTCACAAAAATTTAATCTATCTTATTGTTCCAATCCATCAACAAGATGTTTGTGAATACACACATATGCCAAATGGGTTTTTCTCCTCAGCCCATTCTTGATCACAAAAATTTCAGGTTTTTATAATAATATTTTCGAGATGGAGACAAAATCTTTCTATTCTGCAACTTTGAACTTGTTAATTGCAAAAAAATCTGATCGTCTAAAGCACCATGAAGAAAATCCATCATTATAGTGAAGGGGGCTTTTAGAAACATACCACCCAATTCTTATGTATTACTTGTTAAAAAACCTATACTTCGATTTTTACAATCATACGACCCAAATATATCACATCACCTTAAAAAAATACCATTATTTTAAGTTTTAAAAGGGAAATACTCCTTTTCATGCATATGTAGTGTGGCATCCATGTAACCATTGACGTTTTAAGTGTTAGATATATAAATACATAAGAATTGAGTGGCATAGATGTAAATCTTCCTATACTTAATTGTACCACCTCTAGGTCCAAAATTGCAACCACTGCTACTATAGTAGAAATCAAGCTATGCTTAATAATATGTGAAAATATATTTAAGCCCACACCTTCCTTCTAATTGCAACTCATTGCAATCAATCATGTTTTGTATCTAGCACTGTGTTCAGCTCAAGTTCATTCTTTGTGTTTAACAATCCATTTGCAACTAAAAGCTATATTGCATCCTAGAAATTGAACATTATTATGTAAACCCACAATGAATGGCTAGAATAGATAGAAAACGATATAGAAATTATTGTTGGATGAATCCTCGAGATCTATTAATCAAAACAAAGGTATCTAGATTGTTATTTCTAGTTGTGGATGACTCTTCGTCCCATATTACAACCTCCTCCTTGTGGTTCACAAAAGGTTTCCTTCTTATAACAACAAACAAGAAGTTATAGTCAACTAACAAAGACCAACCAACAGTAGTACAATAGAAAGTTGTGACAGCAACAGAACCTTATCATTTAAGCTACAAAATGGTCCAGCAGGAGGTAGGAAAAATCAGGAAGGAGAGGAAGAATAAGGTAGAGCTTTTGGATTTAAATATTGCAAAGCTCAAGCTTATTTATAAGTAAATTATGATATGAATTACTGTAAAAACACATCTTATTCATCCTCATATGACTTGCAATAAAAGAAAGCTAATTCATAAACAAACTCCGTAAAATAAGAACTCCTAAAGTCAGAAGACAGACTACATAATTTCAAAAGCAAATATTAAAATTGAAGATTAGAAAAAAATAAACAACAGGATTATACAAACATGTTTAAAAAGAAAGACCCATCCATATTCTGTTTTAATCAGAATTTAATTCAACAGCCAAACTTTTGGGGACTTAATATACATTGTAAAATTTATCATTCACGATCTAATTCAATCTATGGACTCCTGACAACATCCTTTTCAATCTTAATGGTGCGACATAAAAATCAACATAGTTAGCAATCACATCAAGGATTTGGACCATTAAAATTTCAAAAGACATAATCTCCTAATCCCTTCATAACCTTATTCTCATATTGTGAGGAAAACTTTTTCTAATAGTGCTCTTTCATCCTTGGATCACATGACCCCTTTTAGGAGGATTTCACTTTAGTTTCCCAATTGTACCAATTTGTTTAGTTTAACAACTAATCTTTTAACAAAATTTTAAATTGATGGTAAGTAAACAGCGAACTTGATATTTCATACGTATTTTTTTATACATCCCATCAAAAATCCATATCAGAAACCAAACACCAGAAGAGTTATTCATCAAATTTGATATCAAAACCTAAAGTTGTGCAAAAAAATAAATTATAAGTGAGGCTCAATATATCAGGATCATTTGGAAGATTGGATCAGTTAACAGATGATCAAAGGAACAACCTTTTGAGAATTTTGCAAAAACTTTAATAGAATAGACTCTAAGATGCTTTGCATCAAATTTGATATAAGAAACTAAAGCTATGTCAAAATGCAAATTAGTTGTGAAGGCGCACTATCAAAATTGGAATGGGGTTTTGAGAAATTTGCAAAACTAATCAGTAGAATTACTCAACAAGCAAAGCAAAAGGAGTGAGGATATAAACAAAAACAAAGAACAAATTAATGTGTTGGAAACAATCAATTCCATCCACATAAAGTAGAAGTTAAAATCTAATTTTAATGAAAAGTTTATTTACATTGCCAAGAGGAAATTTTTCTTGAGAAATATAATCAAGATATACAACATAGGGTGAAACTTATAATAATCACAAAAATCAACTTTAGGGTTGATAAAGACATAACTAAGAAGGTTAAAATTGAGGCATCCACATTTAATGGGAAACTGAATGCTCATATTTTTTTTACTGGGAAATGAATTTGAATGGTGAATAATGCTAGGTAGCATTAAGTAAGATTTGCAAGACTAAAATTAACGAGACAAGCTAAAATGGTACTGGATGAACATGAAATGATAATTGGAAAGATACAAGAATCTAGAACTAATTAAACTAAAATTCAAGAGAACAAAAGAAAAATATGGCTTACCATTAATCATAAAGAGAACAAAAGTATTATTACCATGAACTTTTGAGAAACATGACTTTTATCTTTGTTTTATGAGCATCAGTAATTCATTTCATTTCATGTTACAAAACTGCCAATGCAACTCATATAACAAATTATGTTCTAAGAAATTAGTTAAATTGCATGGCCTAATTAAAACTATTGTATCTGCAATAATACAATGTTCATAAGTTACTTTGAAAAACCTCTGAAAATTGATAGGAATACAACACAAATTTTTAGCTACTTATCACCAGCAAGCTGATAGACAGACCATAGCATTTAATAAAAGTTTGGGTGATATATAGTAATGTCAATCTAAAAGGTATGCATATGGTCGAGATAACATGCTCGACAATTGCTTCCTTAAATGATGAGATAGCACCGGCTGCTAAATAACTAATGATGGATGTTATAGGTGTCATGTGCGTTAGTGTGACAGAACAACTTATGATGCTTTATAAATTAGTTTAAAATAAAAATATCAATAATGCCTAAATATGCTCCACAAATATCAAATACTTAATTCATTGAAGCTGAGTTTTTCAAGACAAAAAAATATAGTGACAAACTCAAAATTAATACTGCTAAAAAAAAGATGTTAGCGTTGATACAAGCACGTTAAAATGTGTTAAAATGCATATAACTTCACCGTTTTCAAAGCATGTTTTTAAAACATGATCAAACATAGTTTGAATAAGATTCAAACACTCTTTCATGTTTGAAGCAAAGTTATAACATTTGTGCAAACATATTGGAACCATGTTTGATCCATATTTGATTATGATTTGAATATGACTTGAACAGATCCTAATAAGTTTCACATTTTCACATTAGATTGATATTCAAGATTCAGATTTACTTTCTTTTTGTTATTATATGATTTTACGGTTTATGATGATAAACAAAACAATATGAATTATATTAAATTTTATGATTTGTTATCTATCCGATTTCCACCTTGAGGCTTACACCTCGTTTCACTAAGACAAAATATCTCAATTTATGTTTTCTTATATTTAAAACTTGCAATAAATGCAAGTAAATTTGTAGATAAGGCAATCAAGATTGTAATAATGCATAGTTTTAGGTTAACATGCTTTAAACTCGATATAAATGTGAATGCATACTTAGTCATAAATTTAACGTAAATTTAGCAAAATATCTTATTCCAACATTGAAGTCAACTTAGAAAAATTGGCTCAAAAGAGCTTTCGATAAACTTTAGCCGAAAATAATTTAGCTTGAAATCAAAATTTTGGAGTTCAAAGTAAACTCTCTCAAACTTTACTCGACACCACCACTATTGACTTCACATAGACAACTTACTTGATTCTTAACTTGTATCTTCTACACAAGACTCATTTTAATGCTCCTATCCAAGTAATTAGAAATACTTCCAACCACTCCATGGAATCATTCAATGCTTAGTCGAAATTCAATGAGTACCTTTTTTATTCACACAGATGTACCTTAATTCCATTCCAAACTTCAACTGGCTAATCAAAATTAGGCTCCCTAGATTCTGCCAACGTTTGTAACTAAGTAAGGTTTCTTCGTCATCATACATTCGTTTAATGCTAACATAATCTTACATCGTAAACTCAGACAAGAAGCAAATCCAAACATTACTAGCAAGAAAGAAAAGAAATTACAAGAAATCCGCCTAATTCAGGACTGGAACAGCGAGGAATAAGGATGATATATTACCTGTAGCCAACAAGCGCCATAGAGATGCAGAGTGAAACCTTGAAGGGGCTGTCTGGTAAGGGATTTAGAAGCGCAGGTTTTCTTAGGGCGAAACCGGGAGAAGGAAGGGGAATGGGAGATGGGATTGTTGTTTTTTAATTTAGTTTTACATAATTTGATTTTCTTTTTAATTTAACAGATTAATAATCGATTTTTAATTTATAAAATTTTTAATTAATTATGATTGGATAAATTTATATGTAATTATTTATAAGTTATTAATAAAAAAATATATTTTCAAATTACATTCCTAATTAATATAATTAATGATTAATAATTTAACAGTTGATTAATGTTAAATAACTATTTGATAAGTAATTAATTTAATAAATTTTTAATAATTAATTAATTTAATGAATATTCAATTATTAATCCGATACTCCTGAATAAAATTTAAATTAAATCAAATTAAATTAAATAATTAATTTTTTACTTTAATCAAATAATTACTTTTTAATTATGATTTTTATTATAACACTTTTAATTTATCAGATAAATTTTCAAATAATTTCATAAAAATTTAATTGGATTTATTAAATCCATTTCCAAATAATTTTTTAAGATTTAGTCTTTCAAATATTTATTAAATTTGAATTTACATGATTTATTAAATCTTATTAATACAAAGGAAGTAAATTCGGGTTACTAGGTCTCTGCACCTCTCGGTGCATGACTATTGGCTAGGGTGAGATTCATCAGAGTCAATTACATATATATATAGCCCTCAAAATATTATTATTTATAAATCTTGCACCTTTTATCCAATTTTTCAAATTCTCACTCAAACTAGTATTTTTTGTTATCCCAATATTATTAAGTTTAGTTTGATGGTATGCATCATAAAGTTTAATTAAATATTTATATATTTTATTCATCTCAAAGTAATTTTAATAATTTCATTATTTATATTCAAGATATATTTTTTTCAAAAAATATGGCATAATGATAATTAATTAAATATTCAATTTTTATGTAATTAACAACATTAATAATAGAAGCTAATTTTTTTTATTTAAATGGTATAAAAATATTGATAAGAAAATATGCTTTATATTTTCTATATATAATAAAAAAATTATACTTTATGTTAAAAAGTAGGATATTAGACATTATAATAATGTTTTTATAATAATTAAAAATATACTTCGAGAAATAAAAAAGAATTAAGTGATGAAGCATAAATTTTAATTTAATGTGAAAAGAGTTCAATTTCTAGACCCCCTACAATAACTTTAAGAATTAGGCATAACGAATTAAGAAAATAATAGATGCAAATTTTTTTCTTTTTATATTTATACCACCCAAATTCTTTATATCACATCAAAAAATCATTATTTTAACTTTTATAAAGTGAGATATATATCTTTGTGTGTGTGTGTTTGTGTGTGTGTTTAAGTGTCTCTCAGTTTGACTCTTTCGTTGGCAGTTGTGTTGTCAGTCGTAAATCCCCTGGGGTTACGGGTTCGAGCCCACATGAGTACATATGTCTTGCAGCACGGGATTGAGTGGTTAGACATGTTGAGGGTGTTAGAAATATATATATATATATA